AGAAACAATAATGTACAGTATGTGGAAAATAATGTGTTTTTTGAACCTTAAACCGCATAAACACATTTCATTACATCAAATACACAAAATAATGTTCTTTTTAGCAGCATCATATGACCCCTTTAAGACTTAAATAGCCAATAATAAATTAGGAAGAAATATTAAAGCCAATCTAAGTTAAAACTTAAATTTGACTGATTTTCAATTGATCTTGCCCACACGTAGCCACGCCTCTGAAGCAAACATCTTGAGACCAAGTCTTGGGGGGATCATTGGAATATTCAGTACTGAGACGAAACAATAAAGATCATAAATTCTCAGATTCTCTCAGCATCAGAATCATGGAAAACTCCTAAAGTGCTGCGCTTTCGAAGCTCCCATCTTGGATGAAGTCTTACCTCTTATACTATTCGTGATATTCATTTTTGGCCTTATGGGGAACATCCTCGCCCTCTCGATGTTCTTCTTCCACAGGGACAACTGGAAGCCCAATTCTGTTTATCTTGCCCATCTGGCTGTGGCAGATTCAGTGGTTCTTTTCTGCCTTCCTTTTAGGGCCAACTACTACCACAGGGGCAAGGACTGGGTCTATTGAGACGCTTTCTGCCGTATTTTGCTGTTTCTTTTGGCCGCCAACAGAGCTGCTGGTGTATTTTTCCTCACTGCCGTCGCAGTGGACCGACACCTGAAGATCGTCCACCCTCTCAACCGCATCAACCCAATGGGTCTGACCTATGCCCTGTGGGTCTCTGTTGGCCTATGGGGTCTCATCATAGCCATGACTGTCTACCTCCTAACAGACAAGCATTTCTACTATCGAAACAACCACACACAGTGTGAGAGCTTCAACATATGTTTGGGGCGCAATGCATTGTCTGACTGGCACAATGCATTCTGCGTTATCCAGTTCTTTGTGCCCACGGCCATTGCTATCTATTGCACGGCTTGTATTACGTGGCAACTGAAAAGTAATACAGTGGACACACAGGGTAAAATCAAAAGAGCGGTGCAGTTTATATTAGCAGTTGCTCTAGTTTTCATTATATGTTTCTTCCCGAGCAATGTCTCCCGTATCGCCGTCTGGGTGTTGAAGAGCTGGTATAGCGAGTGCCAGTATTTCCGTGATGCAAATGTAGCTTTTTACACGACTGTCTGCTTTACCTACTTCAACAGCGTGCTCAATCTCATCGTCTATTATTTCTCCAGCACTGTGTTCAGTGGATCCCTCAAGAAAGTCTACATGAAACTTCTAGGAAAGAAAATGGAGGATGAGAATGATGAGAAGAACCATCGCAGTTCTATTACAGTATCAGCTAATGTATCTTAAAGGGGTCATATGATGCGATTTCAATTTTTCCTTTCTCTTTGGATCACTAGTGTTGATATTATAGTTATACACTTTATAATTCATAATAATGTTTATTCAGATGTAAATGACAGCTGTTAATGTATATTCATATAAGCATCGATTTGTAACCTTCATAAACATTTAATATGCCCTATATGCATTAATTAGCCTACCTTCACAGATTACTTCACTAATACTTTAATAAATGACTTCAACAGCCCTCTTGCTATGTCTGATTATTTAAATGTAAAAATTAAAATATAGTAAAATTAACACTATATGGAAATACTCAATGTTTTAGATATGAACGACAAAGTTTTTGTTTAATTAAATGTGACTATAACGTTTGAATCGGTTGTCGCAGCACTCGCACGTTTGCTGGCTGTGTGTTTGGCGCAGGCGCTCTCCCGGCCCAGCGTTCACTGTAATATTGTGAGTGTGAACTGCCGAGCTTAAAAATATTATCGAGCGGAGGGAATGTCTGGCAGGTCAGTGCGCGCGGAGACCCGGAGCAGAGCCAAAGATGACATCAAACGCGTTATGGCCGCTATTGATAAAGTTCGAAAATGGTAAGATCGCCGGGAAAAGCCCTGTGTTTGTTCCACCGGAGAAAAAAAATGCGCTTGTGGGGGAGGAGAGAGAAAGAACAAACGAGAAGGACAGAGAGTGAAATTATAAGGGTAATTTTTGAGCGCGATTTCCAAGTGAACTCAAGCGCACCCGACACCATACACTAAAAAATTAATGTTTTGGAGGGATTTCAAAGGTTTCTGATGGAGATGAAGTGGGTTGAACCCAGAAGCCATTTCGTTGCAGTCACATGAAGTCATTTCTCGCTGCAGTTTGGCGCACTGTGATGTGTAACATCTGTGTTTTGGGGAATGAAACGCTTGATAAACTCACCTGTGCGCGAGAGTCACAGTCGCTGTAACACACACAAAGAGTTGAAATGCAGCTCAGTCTCTTTACATCATATAAAGCTGAACACACGGAGCGCTGTGGGGGCTGGGACAGGGAAGTGAGCGACTGCATGCCTGATATTTCATTAACAGCATTAACGCTGTGGCTTTTAGACAAGGATGTTATCTTTAGACATTTTACATATAAACTCATTTTTGCCTGTATTTATTTTCATTGCATTTGAAAAATAATTTGGAGTGCAAGTATTTGATAATATGAAGCACGACATTTTACCTTGTTTTTCTTGTAGAATAATGTAATCACAGGTATTTTTTTATTTTTGGTTCCATCTTTTTTTCATTGGATATGACTTTTTAATGCTGATTTTTTTGAAGTATCTAATTTTATTAGAATTTTCTAATTTTATTATATATATTATATGGTATGTTATTTTAAAAGTACTGCCATTGCAGAAAAATGTCAGGTTCCTTTAAGTGTATTTTAAGTAAAGACAAAATCAATAATGGCTTATTTACTTTTTTTAAACTCACTTCTGGTCTTATTGTGCACCTTCCATCAGTGCATATTAATATATTTGGCTTTTTAAATCAGAATTCAAGTTTCTCTTAAACAATGAGGCCGTGTAAGCTATTGGACAATGCTAACCAGAAACAAATACCTATTTAGGCATTGAAGCACTTCTTTTTGTGCTACAGATCTTTGTTTTAACAATTCACAGGGAGAAAAAATGGGTGACGGTTGGAGACACTTCACTGCGCATCTTCAAATGGGTTCCAGTGACTGAACCAAAGTCAAATGATGTAAGTGTGTGACAATTGTGCATTATTTTCTTTTTGTTAAGTTGTAGTTCATCGATATTCTGTCTTGACATGTTTTCTGCTGAACAGAAGAACAAAAAGAAGAAGGGCAGAGAGGAGAAATATGGATCGGAGGTGACGACTCCAGAGAACAGTTCCTCTCCGGGAATGATGGACATGCATGGTCAGTCTCTTAACCATGCCAAGATTTTAAGTCTGTGCATAATGTAATTTGACATTATTGACTCTTAAATGGCAAGCTGTGGTTTCCCTTATAGATGAGAACAGTAATCAGAGCTCAATAGCTGATTCCTCTCCGGTGAAGATGGAGAACAGCTGTAGCACGAGCCCGACACCAGAGGCCACTGCTGCTGCTCACACTGATGGAAACAAATGCAAGGCAGAACATACGCCATCCCCTGACAAAGGTACGAAAAGCCACTCTGATCACATGAATAAATTTCATGCTTACACAAATGAAATTCTGGAAGGAATAGCTCGAAGATGAGTTTGTTTCTTCATCAGAACAGATTTGGAGAAATGTAGCATTACATCTCTTGCTCACCAATGGATCCTCTGCAGTGAATGGGTGCCGTCAGAATGAGAGTCCAAACAGCTGATAAAAACATCACAATAATCCACACCACTCCAGTCCATCAATTAACATATTGTGAAGTGAAAAGCTGCATGTTTGCATATTTCTCTCCTGAATCAGACCATATTACTTTATCACTGGAGAAAGCGATTTTTATGAATAGAGGATGGAAGCAACGGTTTGAAGTTAAAAATGTCTTAATGATGGATTAATTTCTTACAAGCACACAGCTTTTTGCTTATCAAGATGTTAATTGATGGACTGGAGTGGTGTGGATTATTGTGATGTTTTTATCAGGTGTTTGGCCTCTCATTCTGACGGCACCCATTCACGGCAGAGGATCCACTGGTGAGCAAGTGATGTAATGCTACATTTCATTCAGATGAAGGAACAAACATACAGGTGCATCTCAATAAATTAGAATGTCGTGGAAAAGTTCATTTATTTCAGTAATTCAACTCAAATTGTGAAACTCGTGTATTAAATAAATTCAATGCAAACAGACTGAAGTAGTTTAAGTCTTTGGTTCTTTTAATTGTGATGATTTTGGCTCACATTTAACAAAAACCCACCAATTCACTATCTCAACAAATTAGAATATGGTGACATGCCAATCAGCTAATCAACTCAAAACACCTGCACCAAAAACTTAAACTACTTCAGTCTGTGTGCATTGAATTTATTTAATACACGAGTTTCACAATTTGAGTTGAATTACTGAAATAAATGAACTTTTCCACGACATTCTAATTTATTGAGATGCACCTGTATCTACATCTTGGATGGCCTGAGGGTGAGTCCATTTTCATAGAGATGGTATTCAAAACATTGCATCCGAGATCTTCCAGCTGAAAGACATGTGATGCATCACAATTGGATGAATCACAGTGTGGTTTATTTTTTACAGGGAATTGTAACTCTACCCCTTCAGAGACGTCAACAACCAAAAAAGATACTCGGTTATCAGGGGAGAAGGAGTCCTCATCAGACACCTCGACAAACTCTCAGGTAAAAGCATCACTTACCTTCAAATCAGAAGAAAATATTCAAAGCTGGGAATGACTTGAGGGTGAGAAAATGTTTTGCTTTTTGTGTTTTATTAGGAAAGTGAAGATGGTTCCCCACCCACAAAGAAAAGTAGAGTGGAATCATCTTCTCAGGACTTAGATAACTAAAGCTGACTAGTTTGCTCCCATGTTTCAAACGTCACTGTCACAAACCAATGAGGAAACACAACCCACTTAACAATCCATTCCTGATCTTTAAGTATAGCTTCACCCTGTTCTTCATCTTCTCACCTGGAGCGAACATTGTCGCTGTGCCGGTGAACCGAGGCCGACGACGAACACTGACCTGATCCTGTGAGAAACCTGCAGCCTCGCTCCATTCAACTCATGCACGATATACAGCGTTAGTTTAACAGTAATGAGAGTGAATGCACTGCATAGATTTGTCAAGATAAAAGATGGATTTGCTGCTGTGATCATCTTTGTTTTAAGTCTTCTATTATTTAATTTAATGACTCTACTAGTTGTTTTTCGAACTATTTTGCAGGTTGTTGTATGGTTATAGTGCTGGTGTTTGGTTTGTTCATAGATTCTCTACTGGTTAGTGTGCCTTCTGGCTCCATGATGTGTGATTTTATTTTTTATTTTATTTTTTTTGTGGCTTTTGTTTTTTTAAAAGCTTTTCAAAGCATCACTGCTTTTTAAGGGGATGAAGAATGTTTTGTTACTTGTCAAAATGAATCGAATATATACCTCATTTCCAAACCAGCTGAGCTGGAACTTAATTCTTGATTGATGGATAAATCCTATTCACTGAACACAATCTGGCAGTTTTTAAATTGTCATTTTCAACAATAAATCCATTTTCACTTCAATCTGATGTAGCAACGTTCCAGGAACATACAATGAAATACTCTATAGATACATTGGGACCATGTTTTCTTGAAATGAATTTTTGTACAGTTGATTAATTTTGGTTTTTATTTATTTCACCATTAGTGCTTATTTTTAGCATATTCAATTTGTTTGAATAAAAAATGTTAACTGAATTGATTATGACTAGCCTATTTTTTTATGACTATTTAGCTTCATGCCTGTTTTGAAGTATTTTTGTGTTTGTTTGTTTTTTCAATTCGAGATTAATAGCCCAGCTTACACAACGTTTTGTTTAGGAAAGGCTAAGACTGTTTTATTCATATTCATTATATACGACGGACGTATTTTCATATATTTTTCGACGTTACCTTATACTTACATTGTCCAGAAACGTTTTTGATACGAACATAATTTAAAGCGTTTACCAAAAATATGAGTATTAGAAAGCAAAAGAGAGGGATAGAGATCAAATATAAGACTTTTTCACCACAATTCGTTGTTCAGAATTTAAATTACATCGAGACTGTACTGTATATGATTCTGTATCAACCATCACTTTACCTGATGTTATAACATGACTGTTATATGACTTTTGTTAACTTTTTAAGAGTTTGTTGATGTAATTCGTCGTGAAGTATCTTACCTCAGATCTGGCGTTCTGTCAAACTTCCTGTGCGCGCGCTTTTCGGTTTTTGTCTGCCATTCACAAAATGAAATCAGAATGATAATTTATATAATAAACTTTTGGCTGTCATGGTCAATTGTAAATTATATATAGACATTGTTCAAACAATATAATGGCATTTGTATTTTGGTCATAAACATACACTAATTATCCTAATTAGGTTAGCAAAAAGCGTCAAATTCACATCTATTTTACATAGATACTATTTTATGTGGGGTTCAGATTTGTCATATCAGGCTGCATTTGTAAGGGACATGAATTATTGACTAGGCCCCTTCTGTTCTATTTAGGAGCTGGAGGACCTTGTGATGGGATCTGTTGACCATCCTTGCGTAAAACTGAGACTATGAGGGCAGCTTTTCAAACTTTGTCCATAAGCGCAGTTATAAAACTTTGAGGTATAAATTTAGATGAAAGATCAAGACTGAAAATCATTCAATGATGAATAGGTGAAGTGGTTTTATTATGTAATAATTGGATGGTCACACCAGTGACTTACTGAATCTAAATTGTGCCTAGAATTGTCCTTAGGACGTTCGTGAAATGTTTGTGAAATTATTAAATGCTTTTGACAAAAACATGGTAAAAATCAATGTGTAGTCAGAAAGCGCAATATATCCAGACGACAAGAAAAATCTGTTCAATGTTTGTATTGAGTTCAAGTGAATATACAGTACATGAAACAGTACAATAGTTAAAGACTGTCACAATATTTCAGTAGAAACAGAATGCAAAATTTTCTGATCAAATTCATTTAAACAAAAGGGGAATAATCATGAATATTATACATATTTAATATCTTGTGCACCATGTCATTGCAGGTTACCAATTCTAACACTTGAAGTTTATTAGGTTGCTAAATAAACTTTGTTGTTAATATTACATCAACAATAAGAGATACAATATGATCTTAAAAATTGTGCTTTAGTAAAGGTCTGTTCACACCAAGTTTGAGGTGACTAAAATACATACATTTAAAATATTTGAAAACCCTTTTTTGCACCAAAACTATTCTGCACTGTATTTTGTTGCAAAATTTTCTTCATCCTCTCAAAAAAACTCTGGATACCTGAAGTAACTGTTCTGTATTTTAAATAAATCTTGAATTTGTACACAAAAAAGGTTTAATCTTAAAATCTTGCTGTGCATTTATTTTGTGCCGAAAATTCGGACTTGGTGTGAATAGGCCTGAAATCTACAGGACATACCATCAAAATACACATAAAAAGCCATTCATATGACAATATTATAACTATATGTCTGACATTTAACAGTAAAAATAACTTACTTCCAAACAATAGCAGTTAAACTCATGTGCTGTATACATTTAAAGTGAGAAGTGCAATAATTTAATAGTGGTTAGCTTCAGCTTTGTTTGGTGCACTGGTTGTACTGTTTTGTGTCTGTCATAACAGTCCATTACGAGTTCTTTAAGCTGAAGTGTGTAAATTTGTTTTATTAAAATAACTTCATTAAAATCTTCTATCCTGGTTTAATATGCAGAGACAACTGTAAGTAAACCATTCGTAGGGCGAATTACTGAAAAGTGCAAATGTGGCTATGTTCGGAATAGCATACTACCATACTACAGTATGTACATTGTGCCTAGTATGTATAATTTCTGTATGCGTAGAATACCTGGGTGAAAATGTGCAGTATACCATCAGATCCCACAATGCAGTGTGCTCAACATGAGTCGATTTTGTGTGTAACGGACAAGCTTAAATTAAAATCTGCTATGATTTTTAAAAAAATTTCTTAGCTTAATTTTAATTGTTGCATAATATGTACCATTTCACATACTATCTAAAAAATTGTGGGCAGTATTCAGTGTATACTGACTAGTGTGCAGTATGCATTGTGCTAGTATACCAATCCAAACACAGGCTGCAGCTTTGTGGCGCTTTCAAAACATTGCTGTTTCTTTGAGCGTCCTGAAATGTCAACTTCTGACTCAACCAATGGGGTGAGTTTGGGGCGGAGCTACAATGGTAGAGAGAAGGAACCTGTTTTGAAACAGTCATTCCATTTTGTGCCACTAGAAATTACACACAGCAGCTTTAAGTACACTGCAAAGTATCGCTAAACCGTTCCCAAATTTCTTGCTGGTAATTCATCATTAGATCAATCCACACAGGACAGTGAAAAACGTACGAAACACACAAAACAGTACTGATAACACCGAGAAATATCTCTCGCCTTCATAACATTCAAATTCCATCAATGCAGCATACTTTAGCCTTCATTTGGGCGGATTTGTTTAGAGAATGTTCAAGAGGTTCAAATGCATATATGCTGTGTACAAAAATAGCGTATAATCTGGTCGAAAGCGATCTGTGCATAGCCTGCTCACAGGTCGAGGGGTTGAGAGGAAGTTCAGAAGGTTTGGTCATCGTTGCAAGAGTCTGTCCAGTGACCGAACGCCTCGCAGATGTCGCAGTACGGTCGTTCACCGCTGCGGCTCCCGTGGTACGTGGTGTGCGGAGGCGAGTCTGGGGATTGTGTTTGTGTGGGACAGTCCTCCGTGTCGTGCAGGTCGAAGCAGTCACAGATGTCGCAGAAAACACGTGGTGGGGCTTTCTTCTTCTTGTTGACCTCACCAAGACTTGAGAGAAAGAGGTTAAAAAAAAATGGTATTCTTCGTAAACCCTTTGTGAAGAATAACAATAATAGCAACGAAGATGCAAGTAGCGCAATGCTTGTCAAGTATGTACAACATGACCATGTGCCAGGGTTAGGGATGTAACGATTAACCGCGAGCCGGTTGAAAATCGATTCAAATATGTGACGATTCAAATCGGTTGAGATGCTAAACAAATCGCGATTCATTTAGGGGTAGGAGTTTATATGAATGCATGTCTGAGGGGAACTTACTGTCTCTAGAAAAGTTTAGATGGTGCAGCGCTGCTTTGTTTACAGCGGAAACCAAGGAAACGCTTTACACGCCACCTGCTGGCAGAGAGTGAATCTGTGTCTCATTCAGCTCGTCTGCTGTTTCTGTTTCATGCAGATATTTTTATGTATAGTTTCACAAAACTGAAGTCAAACCATTCTGTTTTTGCTTCAAATTTCGAAATTATAATTTGTCTTAAATCTCATTTGTAAAAAATAAAATAAAATCGTGAATCGAATCGTGAGTTGAGTGAATCGTTACATCCCTAGCCAGGGTTATTATAGTTAATAAAAACTAAACAACAAAATAAAATTCAATAAATGTTAACTGAAATAAATATTTAAATATATATTTAAATATTTAAAAAAGTGTGACACTTTTCATTTTCATTTAGTTTAACTTTATGTACTAAAACTGAAAAATACCATGTCAAGATGTCAAAACTCAATTGGACTCACCCATCATGTTCATCATTTCCGTTGAACTCGGTCAATGCCATTTTCTTCAGCTTCACCTTTAGTTCTTCATTCTTCCTCTGGAGGTCCACAATGACTGAGTTCAGGAAGTTGATCTGATTCATGCAGGAAAACACGGCAGAATTTAGACGTTTACACATATGATCCTAAAACCATGACCAAATATGGAGCAGAAGAGTTTTACCTGTCCCTCAGCAAACTCTTTCTCTTCTCTCAGTTGGTCTATAGCAGCATCACCTACAGATGAGACAAATGTTGAAATGTTGGAATTGCATATAAGTTAAGGAAGATTTTTTACAAATTTACGCTGTTGTTTTTTTTTAGATTCATTTTTCATACTGCAAATGGAAATAAAAATAGTAGTACTATTCGTATTACTCATACTACTTCCATTTCCAGTGTTACAAATTAATTCAAAGAAAAAGCAACTTTAATATTTTTACATAAAATTGGATTAAAAATAGAAAGAAAGAAAAAACATTTATTCTGAGATAATAACTAGATGGCATTCCCTGAATTAATCATGCAAAATCATTGATCAAATAATGGCAGGCTTGGCGAGTAGAAGAGACTTTTTCAAAATATTACAAAAACTTAACCCAAACTTTTAAATAATAGTGTGAATTAAAGTAGCTGGCAATATACAGTATATTGCACAGAATGCAACATGCTGTCATTCCATTCCAAATATAAATACGCTGACAGACCTGAAGTGACTTCCTCTCTGTTCCCCGTCTGCCGGCCCTCCAGCATTTGCTCCAGGCTGTTCACTCGGCTCTGCAGCTGGGCTTTGTCCCTCTCCAGAGACGTCACGGCCGACTGGAGCGGCTTGGCCATGGCATTTTCCACACGAAGCACTGCAATCTGAAATGACAAATAATTTTTTTACATTATCTGACAATATTAAGTGCCAACAACACGGAGTACAAAGTCTTATATAAAAAGAAAAAATAGGAACAACTGCTGTAGACAACAGGGTTTTCATATTAAATTAATCTACATTCTTTTTACTTAAGACAAATTTAGTCATAGTCCATAATGCATAAAACATACTTTGAAGAATGATCCAGAAGTTTAGATAGACTTTTGAAACCCAAGAGTCAAAGTTCTTACCTCATT